TTTGTATATGTAAAGAGTGGTTAGCTTATTAAAAGCTATTATGTCTAAATTGAGTTGTGTTTAATATGCTATGCTAAGAAGTACCTTATTGTATTATATATAGTTATTTCAATTGGCCTTCCTAAAGTAATTATAGATGTAGGACTCCATGGGATGTGCTTCTAAGGTGTATGGTTTCAATCAACGAGAAATCATATACAATGAATATAAGACATGTGTTATACCATAAGTTGACCCTACTTTCTTCTAAAGTAAAAAATAATGAAACAAGCATTTATAAGAAAAGAAAAAAAAATCAACACTCGAGTAATTGATTCGATTGAGTTTAATAAACTTGACTAACTCAAAACAATATGAATTAAAAAAAAGCAATAAAAAAATTAATGCAAAAAAATACAAAAACTCAATCGGAGCCTATATGGGTTAAATACTAAATTTGCGACTGGTTATAATACCGGGGTAAACCTGTTAAAAGCAAACTGAATAAAATTATAAAACTCAATTATCAAATACTCCAATGTTAAAAAGTAAAATTAAAAAGAAAATTATTTTCAAAGAAAAGCAATAAAAAGAGTTTGAGTCAACACGAGTTAACCTATTACTATAGGCGCATGATTAAAAAAATCTCATTCAAAGAAAAGTGAAAAAAGAGAGCATGAAGATCAACTTTTAATAAATTAAATGTTGAATAATAAAATTTAAAAAATCAATTTAAAAAAATCCTAAAAAACATTATAGTCAACCAATATAAACTTTCAGAATTTGTAACCTTGGTCATTAAGCTAAGAAGTAACCCCATTAAAGGTATATCATAAAAAATATAATAAAATTTTAAATCAATAAAATATCATGAGATAAAATTAACAATATGCAATAAAAAAAATCTCAAAAGGAGAAAAAATAGAAATAAAAAGAATATGAACTATATTTGATATAAAAGTGATTTGAAATCAAATACTGAAAAATAAAATTAAAATAAAATTTAATAAAAAAAGATAAAAAACCATCAATTAAAAGAATAAAGAATAAAAAATAAATTTAATATAAAAATTAAATGAAACTAGATGGTAAAGAATGAAATTAAAGAAAAAATCAATAAAATATTAATGAAAAAAATAAATAACAATAAAAAAAATAAAAATCAAATTAAATATAAAAAGTAAATGAAATAATGGCTTTATATTTTGGCAAGGATAAAATAAAAAATAAGAGAAAAAATCAGAGTTACAAACAATATGTTATCATATATACACAAAGCAATGGCAAGGATAAAATAAAAGATAAGAGAAAAAATCAGAGTTACAAACAATATGTTATCATATATACACAAAACAATATTTATATGTGTCATTTATTTTTTAAAATTAATATTTATATTTAGTAAAAGATCATCAACTTGATAATTACTTAAAAAAAACTTTAAAGAATTGGTTGATAAAATAGTTATGAAACTCGATCTTGTTTGACGGGTTGACCCGAGACCCAACCTATATGGGGCTGGAACTGAGTCAGATTGAAGAAAAAATAATGGAAGAAAAAACTCTGTATGACCCGGCGACTCGATTGACCACGTTAAGAATCGATTACAAATCCATTGATTTTTATTTTGTTTTTTTATTAAAATAATATTGTTTTGATTTTTTAAAAAAAATAAAATTTGACTCAACCAAGCTGATAATTTGGTTAAAACTCGAAATCTGACTCGGGTGTTAAAACTACGGTTAATGGTTTGAAATATTTTATTTTTTTAAAAATTTAATCAATATTCTATAATTCTAAAATATAAAATGTTTAAAATATCCACGATCAATCTCAATCTCATAACTATTAATGGATAATCTAAATACCTTGAATAGCAATTTCATTGGATTTTTACTGAAAGAGCAAAACATAATTATACTATTGTGAGAAATAGAAATAGGTATTTCGAGACACAGTGAAATCGTTCATGCTAATTATTATTATTTTTTAAAATCTCAAGTGTTAGGAGAAGTTAAACGAGGAAGGAGGAGAGAATATGATACGAAGCTGAAAAATCCAATAACGGTTTGATCCTCCTTCTTCCACCATCATTCAGGCACCCCAGTCTCCACCATGTTCATCCACCTTCTCCCCCCCTTTTTTTTTCCAGAAAAACAAACAAAACCATCTCTCTCTCTCTCTGAACACAGCACATCATCTTCCTTGTTTCAAATTTTAGTTCTTAATTGACCTGTCACCTTTTCTCTCCGCCTCCGTGTCTCCATGGTTTTCTTCATCATTTAGCCACCCTGACCTCTTTCCC